ACATTAATGTTTCCTACAGCAATTTTTAAGACCGGCGGTTTTATAACATCCACATTATTTTACAAAAATGGTACAATACCCTAAAAAAAAAAAAAGGTGATGCAGATTTTAGCTGAAAATATGCCATTTTAAAATTCAGGCAAAGTTATGCAATCATGAGAAAAAAACATAAGCCATGGTTTCAAAGTCCTCAGGAAATACGTCATCCACTGCAGATTGGGTTTATCCAAATTTTAGAAAAACCTATTGAGATTAGTTTTTACCTAATACTGCATAAGACGATTACAGCTATTTGTGGCACTTTAATTCCTGCTAGAAACAAAATGATGTTTTATAGAGATGTATCTACAAAAGAAAAAAAAACACAACCCTGACATAAACCTCTCTCATCCATTCTCATTCCGCAGAACGGCCTTCTAAGCTGTAAAATCATGCATTTTTCTTAATGAAACGAAGGCTAGACAAATATATAGCAGAGGGTTTTAGAAATAAATTGTACTAAACTATGTATTGCATTATAAAAACTGATTAAGTTTCATAAAGAGCTGAGCTGCAAAAAAAAATGTTTGGTCGTTTTGACCTATCCAGATGCCTATTACTACTCTTTTTCATGGTTTTCCTTCTTTATCTCTGCACAATGCCTCCACGATGCCCCGTTATGAGACAATCCCAACAAACGAGGCCTTTGGATTCCCGCAGGTTTCACTTCCTCTTCCTTGCAGGGTTTTAAAAAAATAAACATTCACATCAGAACAACATGTGCTACAATTTGAGAAGACCCTGTGATTTTAATATCATCTAGCTACAGATGACCCCACAAAAAGCAAAAATCCTTACGAGCTCATAGTAACAGTACCATAACTCCTCACCGTGCATAGAAGGATTGGTACAATCCTTTTGGTGAAAATAATTTGGAATTAACTTAAGAGCAATGTCAATATCTAAATATGAGTTCTTCCCCTTGCACGCTCCTTCTGAAGAGTTTCTCTTCCTCCCTCCTCTTAGGGCTGGATTTTCAGAGCATTGTGTTTGGGCCGCTGGAGTGTAAATGGGACTCCAGAGGCAGCAGCTCCACGTCGCTTTGAAAATGCGCCTCTTAGCAACTAACTCAGCCGTAACTGAACACAGTGACTCTAGCAAGAGGTCCAGCAATAAGAACAGCCCGAAGGGAGAAGGAGATGCTTTTGAACCCGAATTAAAATGTAAAAGGACAATCCACCAATAATCCTTCTGTAAATCACTTAGATCTTTTACTTCAATATTTGTAGTCACTTCTTGCATGTGTAGAATATATGTATGAAAACTATTGAAACCTCATTTTTCTCACATTACTCCCTTGTTCAGTAGTCAACAGTTAATATTTATGAAACACATTGAAGATAAAAACAATCACGCGCACATTGAGAGCCCAAGTTCAAACACGGCTGGTTGAACCACAATCACATAAGCATAAATTTGAGAACAAAAGGAACTAGACAACACATAAACTTAGGTGCTCAGATTTGAAATGTGCCTCTAACTATGTTTATTCTTCTTCACTGGTTCAAGTAATACTCAATTTAAAAAAATCCTACAGATTTTTAAAGCATTTTGGAAGTTAATGAGAATTGAACACACACTTAAAGGACAGGGATGGTTACAACAGCTGAATTTATTCATAAAGGAATCAAATTCTACTGAAGCCATAGGACCTACAAAACCTGAATTTGGCACATAAAATTATGTTAACTTTATGCCTGGTAGGAATGTGCACTTCTGCATCCAGGTTAATGATTCTGTACAAAAATCACATTTTTCATTAGTAGTTACAGCCTAAATATTCAAAAAGTTAATCAATTCTGGATAAAACCAATGTTTCACAGTTGTAAATGAGATCAAGTTTGGGAAAGTGATGAACACTCAGACTCTGAAAACTAAGTCTAATTAAGATTTGGCACTCAAAAATGGATGCTTTCAAGACCATTTGACATTCTGTAAATATAAAAGACAAAAGGAACATTAGCCATAGAGAACTTAAAAAGAGACCAGAAGCTCTGCCTTAGGTATTTCTTTGTATGGTGGTCTGATTTATAGGTGAATGGAAGTGGGTGAACATAGTAGAACTATGATGGGAAGCTAAAACAGATGTCATGGAAGTGGGTTTTTTTGAAATACCGATTATGCAAGAACCTCATTATTGATTGTGTACTAACATCACCTACCACACTTAAAATACTGATGAGAGGTCACTCTTTTGTATTATTCCAGAATCTACACCAACCAAATAGCAAATCAAATGTAATAATGAGAGACTTCGAACACGTCTTGCAATTCCCGAATCTCTTTTATAAAATGAAGCATTTAAGAACAAGGAAAAGACATCCAAAGGCCTACAAATTAAAATGCTATCTAACTTCCGTAACACCACGCTCCTCAGTCTGTCACTGTGGCAATCAAAAGTTTTCATTTATGCTTTGGATTCAACCTTAATGTAGCTATAATCACTTTTTCATTTCTGGCATATGTAATACATCAACAAATATTGCAGTGTAGCCACACACAAAGCACTCATGTTGTTAGAACACTTCGAAGGATTACTTCAAAGTACTGCAGAAGTAAATGTACAGCTAATGTCGCTTCTGTGACGCATGTATTTCTTCAGCACATACTTCTATATCCATAGTTATCTTCGTAAAAATAACATAGAAATGTCCCATCCTTTTTCATTCTTTAGTTCAAATCTATTTTGTAACTATTTGGTAAATACCATTCAATTATGAATCTATTTCCTTTTTTAAAGAATACAGAGCAATTAAAAATTATGTAGCATTTATAAAATAAAGCTAATCACTTTAAAGAAGCTGAGAGAAATTACAAGTAAAATAGCATTGACATTAATTACTTTCATTTGCAGGAAATGCTAGAGACTGGTAACATACATTTTTCATAAATGTTACAGAAATTACTGAAACTCTTCCCGGACCTCCATCGTCTTCACAGTAATAGTGCAGTATTGATCGGCTTCTACTTTTATGATGTATAATTAAATTTTTTCCATTATTGATTCTAGCTCTGCAATGAGCATAACTGATACTCTGGCTTCAACCAACCATAACTTGAAGGTACGTGTTCTTCCACGAACATAATTTGTGTTAAGAAATGTGCCTTTCTGACTAGTTCTGCACAAAATGTACAGCTGTTTGTGAAGGAATAAAACACCGAGGGGCCAGTGCAATGTGAGCAAGAGGGCAAAGGAAGGTAGAGCAAGGGTGATGCATGGTTACTGTCACCACTTCCCATGACTGGCAGCACAGGCACGGCACCAGGGACAACAGAGATGCTACAGCACACTGGTACGTTCATGACCTTGAAAACATTATATATAATATGGAGCTTATTTTATGTAAAGCTCCAAAACACCAAGTGCTCGATTTTGACAAATACCATCATTTACAAAGTGAAACGTGGACCTTCAAGTAAATGGAAGAAAGACCGAGCGATCCGCCAGTGTGTCTATTTGAACACTGCGACATCGCATGGATGGGCACATTCTGCCGAAGTTTCACTGTGTCCTTGAGCATTTTTCTTGACTCATTTCTGAGTTTCTTTGGCTGACACTTTTCACAAAAACATAATGCAAAAGACAAAGATTTTAGATGCTGCTTGGTGCCAGTGAAATCAATGAAACTTTGGCCATTTACCTGTGTGGAGATGGCTTCATCTTCAACTTTGCATAAACAGTTATATCCTACTCTGGTTCAGTAACTTCCATTAAACAAAGGAAAGCAGCAAGGTTTAGGTATAACCATTCGATGCCTTATCTTGCATGAATTTTTTGTTATTCTTTCTTTCACTATAAATAAGAAAATACCTTTGAAATATCAGGACAATGAGTTTCCCCACAGAGAACCTGGAAGGATCATCTCAACCTGCTGTTCCGTTGTAAACACAAATTAAATAGCGACCAATAAGAAAGTTACTAGGTCTGACCTAGCTCTGGCCTTCAAGAGCATACATCTAGCATTAGATATTAGTACCTACCTAGAAGTGCCTGAAACAAGCTGCTCTTAAAGATGCCCATCACCTTTCTGATGGCTTTTTTCAGTTGTTGCTCTTCTGGTTTCCTTAGTTTTTTACAATATTCTTCCAGCAGCACTAAAGCTCGGTCAGTATCTAAAAATGAACAAGTACAAAAAAAAAAGTCTTTTATTGGCTCTGGAAAGTATTTAAATGCTCAAATATTAACTCCACATTTCTAAAGGCATTGTTCACACATGTAAGGAACATTTACAACAAATGTTGTTGCATCCTGTTGTTAGCTGTATGACGTGAGCAACATAGGCAAAACAGAGAGATTAACCCAGCACCAAAACAGGAAGATTACTGCATGTCTGAGATCTCCCTGCAAAGGGAGAATGATCTTTGAATGGCATCTACAACAAGTGTTCAACGTTCATTTACCCAAAACCAGCTGGAAGCTATGGGGTTTGGACCAAATTACAATTTGCAGAAGCTACAAAATTATAGACAATAACCATTATGGATACCCATGCAGGAAAACTGGCCTTAAAACATATTCAGAGAAGACATGAAAGTGTTTGCTTGGCATCTGCAGCACTCTGTTCTCTGAATAGCAAATGTGTATCTGAAAGGCAGGTGTCCAAGAGGGTGGTTGGGGTTTTTTTCTGTTCCCTCACTACATAAAATTGCTATCTACCTCTTTGGTAAAAATGAGACTTTGAGAGCAGACCCATTCATGTGTTGGCTCAAATGTAGCAATCCAGCCTTTCTGTAAGAGTCCAGAGAAAGAGTGCTCTCTGTTTCTCCTACTGCTATTATCTTTGGGTAGTCATTTGCCAAGAGCATGAGTGACATATAAAATTGTATGAAATCCAAACATCACCATCTTTCATATAAAAAAATAGAGGAAAATGAAGAATCAGACTTCACCTTTCCTTCTCCCCATCCTAACTAGCTCACAGAAATGTCCACGCACGTATCTATATGACACTGAGCTATCTGCACACGCTTTTGTAATTGTATTGCCACCAAGTTTGCGAGATTACCAAACAGTAAAAAAAAAAACAAATTAATAATTACAGTGAAACAAGTGCCTCAATCTAAATCTCTTACAGTAGAGTTCAATGCAAGCTTCATTACCAGGAGAGGTTCAGGCTCTTTAGTTAGATTAAACTCAATAAAGTACTATAAAAAGGCTTGGAAAGGCAAAACAGACTGCTTTTATCATTCTTTTTTCTAAATAACTGAAAGAAAACTTCTTTTTCACTATATAAAAATTGATCATCTTTGTTCATCCAAGCATTTTGAACGTGATCCCTGTAGCATGGGCCTTGTGGTGTGACAATTAGATAAGTTCACAGTAGGGGCAGAGACATGACTTGTATTCTGTAAGTTGATAAAATTCTCAAATTAAAAAGGGGAAATATTTAATCAATCATTAAAGTTTAAGAAGATGCAATTTCTTTTCTTTCTCCTACCAGAAATTCTGGCTGGTGACAAGCATTTTATAAGAGAAATGAAAAACATAATGAATAAAAAGGAATGGTATTTAAACATGTCAGTATATATATGGACACACATATATAAAAATATATGTATATATCACATATATATGAAGATTAGGGAGCATTTTATAGCAGTGTTGCCATTTATACAACGAAGGAGCTCACAGTTCTCTGCTGCAATCCCACCTTGAGGGGGTCTCCAAGGAACCCCTTCTTTCTATGAGAGCTATCCCTGGGGCAGGTGAGGGTTAGGCAACTGCCTTGTTTTCACCTAAAGCCGGTAGCGCGCTTGGGACCCACTTATAACCTACAGAGAGAGAGATCAGCTCTTTTAAAGGCCAGGTCACAACACCTGGGCTGGGCTCCCACCACAGATCACCCAAACCAAAAGCACAGCCTTGAAACAAAGTTCTGGGTCCAAGTGGGATATGGTTGGGATATTCCCAATAAATGGTTGGGAATAAAGAACTAATTCTACATGTGATCTCAGCTTCTTCTGCCTTGAAAACGGCAATCACATCATACCTTTCACTGACCTCATCACTGTGTCTGACCCACCTGTGACACCTGTGCTTTCATTTACATACTGAGATTTCTGGCTCCCCTCTACAAAATAATTAGTTAACAGCTTAAAGCATGGGATGGAATCAGGCATTCACCTTCCCTCCAATACAGACAGGCATATGCAATGAATATATTATTATTTATATTAAAATGAATAACAGCTTAGCATGGGATGGAATCAGGCATTCACCTTCCCTCCAATACAGACAGGCATATGCAATAAATATATTATTATTTATATTAAAATGAAGCAGCAGAGAGCGGTGGAAAACCACTGCAAAGTATCCAGTACTGAGGACACTTTTCAGAATTGGACTATCTGACAAATCAGGAAAATGGGATTTGAATGCCTTCTTCCCTTTGGGCTCCACACAAGAGACACCCTACCACTCCTGCTTTCTTAGTCACTTGATGAAGCATGCTGACATCCCCTCCTTCATTAATTATTCCTTCCCTAAAGTGTACGGTTCTTCTTTTGAAAAACAGCTACAAAAAAGTAGCATCCTTTGGGGTTATGAGCAGAGTTTTTATTTTCACTTAAATTATTGTTTTTCAGTTCATCAAGATGAAAAAAGCCTACTTTTGGTTGACCCCAAACCAAGTCCTAAACTCTACAAACTGAACAACCAGCAACAGCACAGTTCTAGTGTTAACGCTAAATCCTGGCTAAAACCCAGATCAAGTAATTATCTTCCTGCCTGATTTTCCTCTCTAGCTTTAATAGGATACATTAATTCCTACTCCCTCCCTAAGCTTTTGCATGGAGTTGCAGCTTTCTCCCGCACGATCGCGCTCGGTAGCAGTGTATCTAGTTTTCCAAATAACCTGTGAAGTGTTTCGTGTGCTGGGAGACCCAGTCACCTTCCGGCTGCCCTGCTTTTGCTGAAAGCCACCATTGATGTTCTAGTGTCAACTGGAAACATATCTTGACCAAGAGTATTTTAGCATGTCGGGGAGAGGGCTGTGTCACCACTGCTGCTGGAGCACTCCTGAAAAACCAAGGGGCTTATGGAGACTATTCGAATATCCAGTCATTTTGGTACTAGATTAGGCTTTCAAAAAGCAACTTTCAGCCTTTTTGTCGAACTTTACTGATTACAAATTATTTGGGACCAGATCTTCATATGGATTTGTACAGTATTCAGCATGATGGGGCATAATCCTCTTCAGCACTGCCACGCAACATGCACACCTCTGCACAACAATCAGATATATGACATAATACAATAATATGGCATATCTGAGGAATACTAAGTACTCCCTCCAAGACGATAACCATCTTCAACTCCCAGTTATACCAAAAGCAGATGAGAACATCCAGTACTTTGCCTTTTGGGGCTGTCTGACAGCTACAAAATTTAAATAATATTTTGCTGTTAAGAACTGACTGCCTGGACTTCAGCACAACAGTCAAATAAGAACCATATTCCCTGCCACCCAAATAAAACCAAAGTTTCTGAAGCTGAATTTCCACACATTCTTCTCATCAAGAAGAATGGCAGACTGGTGGTTTTCATGAAGGACTGGATCACTGTATGTATGGGATGACAATTTCCACTGGAGCATACAATTCATTTTTAGCAGCCAAAATAAGTCCTGTACCTTACAGTCAGAGTGTATCATAAATGCAACCAAAAAATCTTTGTTCTGTGGTGCACTATTCTTCAGTGCCTACACCAAAACCAAATTCAAGCAAGACCACAAATCTACTGAACAGACAGTTTAATATTCCAAGTTGTGGGCCTCCGTGTTGATCCTGAGTAGGTCCTTTGTCTGCTAAAAAAGGACCACTGAAAAGTCAGTATCACCTGTGCCCCATGAGGTCTACTGGATGTAGGTCTAGTTTTTCTTACCATTTCTTTGCATATTATGACACTATTTTTAAATTGATCCTATTGGCTTTGAAAGATGACTTTGACAAGAACCATTCAGAAGATGCAGTCCTACAAAAACTCACATATATTCTAGTCAGTATGTGCATTACGGTTTTGTTTAAATAAGTAATACTCAAAACATCTTAATACAATAATAAGAAATAATTTTATCTTTAAGGATAAAACAGAGTTTATGGTCCTACAGTATCTTGTCTAAGAGATTATCAATTAACCCAAGCTAACTAACAATTCTGTAGGTTTTATTGCTTTATCCCTCTGTAATTTTTTAACCAGTTCATAGATGTTTGTGGTTTATGTTACTGATCAAGGAACAGGCAATTGCTACAATACAGCAAATCAGCAATACGTGATACTGAAAGAAAACTGTAGATCAATAACTTCACTTATTGAATTTCTTTGGAAAACTTTTTCCTCCCTCAAACAATCTAAAGTTTTACCACACAAGAAATTATTTGATTTTTCTTCTACAGAGTGAGTCTCCACCTAATGTAATGTATTGATCTATATAAGAATCAAAAAAAGGCAAATCCTTTCCTTGGAGTTTATTCTAGATGGGATCATTAGAGAATAATCCACACTTTATAGTCCCCACACTTTATAGACGCACTTTTATGTAATGCAGATTTTTAAAGCTCCATAAGTAGACAGTTATACTACAGAGCCAAAAAATCTGTTGGGGCAATGCTTATACATCTGATGAAACAAACAATAAAATTATATCAAAAATGCATTGTTAATACAGCCCAAGTTATATTTTAACAAAACGTAGCTTCAGTATAACTTACAGAGAAAAAGTTTTCCAGGGATACTGTCAACAAGAAACGAAGCCATACATACAAGCAGGTACAGTGTAATGTGTATTATTTATCAGGAGACATGAACTTCTCACCAATGATCAATTGTTTCCTAAAGCATTGTCCTTAAAATGTAAGCTAAACATATGAAAGACTAAGTGTCATAATTACACATATTTAAAAGCAAGAAAGGAAATTATGCAATTAATTTGTTTTACCATCTACTTTGAAATGATGACAAAATCAATTCTACCTTAGCTACTTCTCAGGGTCCATATCCAAGATCTGGATGCCACTTGCAATACTAACCAGTACCTTAAAGCAGAAGGATTCCCTTCCTCTTCTGGTTTATTTCTGGGTCTTTGTCTTGCTCTTATTTTTTGCAAGCACATTTA